TACATCAATAGTAAAGTGGTTTAATTAAATTTTGAATGTAACTCTAACACTTTGTAACATTTGCAAAAAGGAACTTAAAAATGGCACATATGTTTATGCCATCAATCAGTCCTGTATTCTCTTCCATTACTCCCATATTCTTTTTTATTTTGACCTGGCCTTCCTAAGATTTTGGCCACTTGGTAATGGTGACTGGTTTCTTCTATTTCACACCTATGTAATTAGTCGGACCCAGAAAGACTATAATGCCTTGTTTTTGCCCTTTGTTGCTACATATCTTGTACCTCACACTTTTGAGGCTTTGCATCACCAACTATTCATTCCCCTAGATTATTCTTCCTCCAGAGACATATCTTCTTCTACTCTTACAGATTGGGTCCATCAATTTCTATGTTCATTCTACTCCTCATTGGGAATTAATGCTCATAGACTGTTTCATGTTTCATCCCTTCAGATTTGTCACCTCACTCATTCTTTTTCCACTTACTTCTAATATTGCTGGACAAGATTCTTCAGGTGGGCATGTAGACTACCCAACACACCATTCTACAGTCTACCCATTACCTCTAGACAGGTTAGTACATTTTCCTTTTTTTATTTATAGCCATCATTTATAAGATCCTGCCAGGTCACTGGTGATGCCTCCCAGAGGATATTTACTTATCAAAATTTACATTAAGCCAGAATAATGTAAAGTGCTCATACCATCTGCCCTGGCTCCATATATGCCTACTGTGGGATAGGGTGCTCTGAGAACATTTGAGGAATTCTTGTGGTATATCTATATCTGACTATTGTCTGATTCAGACCATACCTATTCCATGGATTATCATGAAAAAAGACAGCATCAAGGGGTTTTCTGCCTGCTTCTCTGGCTCATGCTTGCTGGCTTTATAAAATAGTGTTACACAGTTACCCATTGCACTATCCTGGGTAAAAGACCTTTCCTGACTGAAGGACTGATGTATAACCAAGCATTTTCACCTGCTATCCCACTGCAAATCTCCCCCCTAATTTCTCCTCGAGTGGAGCACAGGAGACCCTTGCCACTTACCATTTCCTAGTCACTGGGGTGGTGGATCATAGAGAATTTTCACTACTGGAGCTAGAACAGGGTGTGCCAAAATGGTTGGAAGTGTGGTGGTGGGGACACTGTCAATGTAGTGCAGATTATCCCTCATATAGCTATACCACCTACCACTTGTACTCTCCTCCTGTGGCTTAACTCAGTTCAGTTGAGTTGAGGTGAGCACACTATAATGCTATACCTTCCTCTTGCAGACAGAGTCTGTTCAATAGAGTTGAGGCAACCACATAATATAATACTGTACCCTCCTCCTGTGGTTGTGTCTGTTCAATAGGGTTGAGGTGAGCAAGCTATACGCATGCACCCTCCTCCTTAGACATCACTTGTTCAATTGAATATTCACTAACAAACTTTGCCCTCCTTTAACTTATGTCTGTTCAGTTGAGTCGAGGTGTGCAAACACACCATACCACTCTATATGCCATGACTTCTGTGCCCTTCTCCTACAGCTGATGTATATTTAATAAATTCTGATGGTAGAGTTGAAGTCAGTACAAGGTATGGTCTGAACATGCTCCAACCATACGACACCTATTGTGCAAGTACTCAAGCAGCCATGTTCTTATTCCACCTATCCCTGTGAAACATGGGGTTTATTTGCCTCTTCCTCCCTTTCTTCCCAGGCAAAGAGTATGGCCTGCAAGAGAAGAGATGCAGTCTCCCAGAGGTGTGCCCATATGGAAATCCTGCCATCAGGTGTCACACTCCATGGACTTCCTTTGGGCATTTTCTGAAGGGGGCTTATCTAAGTAAATTTTTGCACCACTTCAGTATGGGATTCTAGCAAAACTATGTGCAGAGGTGTTATATCATATTGGAAGTTAACATTTTACATACCTGAAAATGTATTTCTGAAGTAGATACCTCTATGCAAACATTCCCACCTAACCCATCCAGTCCCCTGCAGATTTTCTTACTTGTATCCTCAAACAATGAAGATTCCTGAGTGCAAGTGTATGGAGAGACTTAGTGCACAAGGAGGTGTCACCCTACTATTAGTGGAGGACTTTTGCTGCATAATGACATCATTATACAGTAGTGTAATTCACAAAGGATCTCATGAGATTAGATGGGAATTCACTAAATCTAGTGGCATGCAAATGTCTGTCTGCCTGACATACAGGGAAGATAATTTATCTGTGTGAAATATATATATATATTTTTAGGTGAGGAAAATAAGCTGTGGTTTACTACTTAATAGAAGAGTAACACATGTGCACTACACTATTTAAATATACTATGGTTTACTACAGAAACAGGTTTAAATTTTATATCTACTTAATCCATGGTTTAGTACACTTTAAGACATGTAGACTACAGTACCTACATAAATTGTGGTTTAGTATCAAAACAGTTTGGAGTTTTAAGTTTCCACAAAAGAAAGTAAACAAATTAGGCTGGAAATAGTGTCTACATTATTTCCAGCCTAGTTTGTTTACCTTTTTTGGGGGGGTCTCTAGTTGGAGGCTTGAAAATATAATCTTTGCATTTTGATTTAACTTGTTTCTGTACTTTTTTTGAAGATGCCTATTTCACTTTTTTAAATTAACAATTTTTATCTATCTTATTTCTCAAGAGCTTTTATGCCCACTTATGGAGAATAATACGTATATGCACTATATACGTGCATATGCATTCAGTTTAATGTTACATGTTTTTCAACAGAGTACTGCTGCATTGGCTTTTTTTTCCACTCATCGATTATTACTGAGCCAGGTAGTTTGTGCCTGAGGTTTCGTGTAAACGTGCGTTTAACAAGTGTTGAGTATGAAGGAAGCTGCTCACAACAACATTGCATATATTACATATTTATAACCACATAAATCAACTTTCAATGAAAAAAAAACAACTTTTTAAATACGTCATGGACATTCACAGCATTTCATGTAGTATATCTGTCTAGTTTTTGGTGTAAAATACCAATCAATTTTGCTGTATGCTTGTGAAACAAAAATATGAATAATAATAATAAAATACACACTCATAATTTCAGCTATGTACAAAAATCAGTAGAACAAACCACCATTAACAAGAGTATAGAAATGTACTATGGTAATTGTCTACTGTTAGAAAACTTACTGAAATCATCACAGAAAACCATGTAGATACAAAGTACGACAGTGAACTTGAGAAACAAAGAAGAACAGCAAACTAGAGAAATGATGAATCTTCAACATGACAGTTTCCAATTAATGCACTATATGTTGCAAATTATTTTCCAATTAATGCGCATAACTAAAACACTGGATTTTATCAATGATGGAAAGTGAAGGACTTAGAGAAATTCTTTAAGGTAAACAAACAAAGGCGCTTGAATTATTTGAAAAAATTTCCTATGACATAGCAGTCAATACTGCATTCATTACTGTTGTCCAAGTTTCAGTTAAATATTCGTAGCTGTTTTTTCTGTAGCAGCTTGTAAAACTATAATCAATAATAATAAGGCTCGATACACTGTTATAAACTAACACATTGTTTACTCTAATAAAATGAAGCATTTCTGACTACTATCACAGTACATAAATGGCTTCTACATTTTTGCGATGCTTGAATGGCTTCGAAAAGCTAATGTCGGTAGTGAGGAAGAACTTAGAAAATTTTAGAGGATAGAAATCTCAACTTTCAAGAATCAACTTAAAAATTGCCCTACAACCTTTGCAGGAGTTTGTTTAGTAGCTGTGCATAGATTTTAGTGCAGTATATCTAGTCAGTTTTGCTGTAGGCTTCAGTGTTTGAATGGCTTCAAAGAGAAACTTGGCCAGTAGTAATAAAAAAACTGATAAAATCTCTCCTCTTTCAAGAATCAAAATAAAAATAGCCCTATGACGTATGTAGGAGTTTTTTAATAGGTTTGCCCAGGTTTGAATAAAATATTCCTAGCCATTTTTTCTGTAATTTTGTGAAACAAGAATAATATGAATAATAATTATATAAAGAACAAATGGATGAATTTTGAATTTTGTCTAACAATCAGAAAATCAACATTTTAGTTTTTATCAATATGTTAGCAGCCTTAGCCATTGAGATAGAAGGTCTTGAGTGTTGTTTCAAGAACAAGTCTGCTTTTTAAGATGGTTTTTGCCTGTATGTTTTGTTAGGATTTTTGTGAAATTCCTTGGTGATCCCTATTATGAACCACTATTGAGGTTTATGATAATCTGTGGTTTAGTATACTATAGATAAGATATGTAGACTACAGTACCTACAAAAAAAGTGTGTTTTAATGTAAAAACAGGTGGATTTTTATATCTCCATAATTTATGGTTCAGTACACTATATGGGAGTAAGATATTCAGACTAAAATCTTATATAAATTAATTATGGTGTACTCTAAAAACTGGTTTGCCTTCTTTCAAACATAATGAAAGATAAATATGAAATCTTTATTTCTATTTTTGGAATATTTTTGATCCATCAATCCAGGTCAAACAGGCTGTTTTTAGCAAGCAATATATTCATAATATTTACATGCCACATATTTAAAGTGTTTGACATTCCATAAAGCTTATTCTATTATACCCATATTTTATCTTGTATTTTGAAAAACTAGCAATTTTGATGTCTTTTGACCTTAGATGGAATGAATACAGTCATCAGAATGAATTGGTAGATTTTATTTTTTTAACGTGACTATTAATAATCGTGTTGTTTTTTTCCTCCTTATGAGAAAGAGGAAACAGATATTAAGGTCTTAGTATTTTTGTTTTAAAGAAAGGAAATTTGAAGTGAAAACTTTGATTTTGATTTTTGAAAAGATATATACATAGGGCAATATATTAATAGGTTTCTCATGTTTTATATATTTCAGAGAATCTGTGTATATTGACTCAAATAAAGCACAACCTGAAGGATACAGTATTTCAGAGCTACTGGGTGAGAAATTGTCAGTGAATGAAAAGGCAAATCTGTTAAATGCTTGGTCCAGTGTAGATTTGCACATCTGCCTCTTGGAGTCAAAAAGAAACAGTTTTATAGTAGTGATGGATTTTGATAATACATCAATAATGGTCTCAAGCCAAAATGAATTTCAAGATATAGAATTTACCAAGGTAGTATAAGCAGGTGTAGTTATGGGACTGTTCATAAAAACACAAACTGACTTAGTGTATGGATATAAAGATTACCTTTTTAATTACTTAGTTTTGTCTTATTTAACACTAATGTTGACCTAAAATATTTTTTTGCTAATACTTTTATACATGTAAATAACATCTTAGTTTGCATGTTATTTGTATGTATATTTCGGGTGTCTCGAAAATTCCTTCTCATGGCCATTATATTATGTACAATTGATGTTTTATTTATTTATTTTGCAGATAAATAAAAATATATGTAATGGGTGACTATACATATCAATAAAAAATGTATATGATATGTGTTTGCATGTTGATAGCAGGCAATTTGAACAGTTGTTAAAATAAAGGTTAATACTGAATTCTGTCTGTGAGTGGAGATCTTAAAGACACCCTGTATATATATAGTGAAAAAAGAATATTTAACAACAAAAAACAGTATTTGTACTTACTATACTTACTAATATTCTGGCATATTTGAATTTTCAGGTAACTCGTCTTTTTGATAATATGAATGGCAACATTTGTAATACTTCCAGAAATAGACCATATTTGAAAGGCATTGTTGTCCTTCATGAAAATATGTTTCTCAACACTGATGTAAGTTTTAGACTTTGATGTTATAAAAGGTTTAATATTTTTGTTTGCACTTAACATTTTAAAACAAGTTCCATTTTAAGATGTATTTATTTATAGAAGTTGTCATAATCTTAACTCACAATTGAAAGTTTTAATTTCCTTAACTGGTTGGTTTATACTTATTCTGAATATCACCATTATAACATAATAAAGCTATAAATATCTAAGTTTTTCTTAACTTTTGTCGAAATATTAGGAACACAGTATTGATGGTAATAGCTGGAATGTTTTGAGAAAATTGAAATCTTCCTAGGGTGTACCTTAAAAATGTCAGGCCCCTTTTCCAGTTCCAATTTACCTGTCTATTCTCCAGCAGTGATACATAATCTGATAAGTATCTGGGTTTAACAATAAAAATGTAATTTTGGTTGGTTAATTCAGATGATTAAACCTGTCAAATACTGATAATAACCTTTGACGAAGCTATGATTTTTTTTTCTTCTTTTAGTCAGGTTATGAGCAAATCCTACATTTTAGACCAGTTGCTAGAGTTTCAAACACAGTTCTTACATTTAATACCTAAAAGCGAAATATAAATCTTAAAACTTTGAAATTCTAATTCAGATACAGATACAGAATTTTTTGAAGGATGGGGTTCAGCCTGTAAAAGAGTACACATATAGAAAATCCAAAAACGATGAAAAATATAGGTGTTGCATATTGAAGGCATTTTGCATCGAAAAGGGCAGGGTTCGAACCCTTGGAATCCCACCCCTGTATTCGCTACTGTAATTGTAAACTCTAAATCAAACTAAAATATAAGATGTTTCAGATTTTCATTTCTTAATATACTAAATATAAAAGGAGTTAAAAATTTTCTTTCCAGTTTTCTAAATATCTGAATTGTATAATTTGTATTATAGCATATGCAGTTCTAGCTTAGTCACTTAGCTATGACATGGTTTATGGTAGGGATGCACAGGTAGTAAAATTTGGCTGAATACCAGGTCTGGGTACACTGGTCACTAAGCTTCAGCCAGGTCCAGGTGTCAACTGTGACTGGGTTCTCCCCCCCCCCCACAAAAAAAAACATATAAAAAATTACAAACAAAAACAAAATTGATGTTAATTACATCTAACCAGATAATCAACAACAGAACATTCAAGTTTTACTTTCAACTTTCAATGCATAGCCCCAACTTCTCAAACCCTAATCCCTATTGTTCTCAAAACCCCCACATTCCCCAGAAATCCACTTCTCAAGCAATGCCTGTTATTAACCCTTATTGTTTTCTGAATCCCCAACTTTCAGTGGGCGGTCAGTTTTTGTTGCTCGGAACATGTTCTTTTATAACTAAACCAATTATTGACTGTAACTTTCAGTACCGCATTATTTGCCACAAAGATTAGGGCTTATATGCCTAATTTCAACTTGCGACTACAGCCGAGTATTGCCGGGTAGCCCAATACCTGTCTGGGGCCAATTATCTGGCTGGGTACCCGTACATCCCTAATTTTAAGCTATTTCAATTCTTCATTAGTATCAAATTTGAAATCTTATTCTATTCCATATGTGTAATAAGCAATCTTGCATGATTGAGTCAAACATAAAGCAAACAAAAAGGCTATTGTTATAAGGCACTCCTGACTGGTTTCTTCTATATTCAATTTATTTCATGTGTGACATACCACAATACCAGCCATGTTTTATCCATTACGATTTTTCAGCACCCACAATGTTATATATAATGTGTTTTACTATCAATTTAGGATGAAAATCATTTTCTTATATTATGACCTTTTTTAATATTGTTGAAACTAGAAATAACAATGAACTGAACAAAGGAAAATTGTTTTCAGTTAATGTGTTTTAAAATTCAAATGTATTTCATATGTAAATTTTTAATGCACTTATGTGTCATGTTAGGAACACAGTTTTGAATATTGAAAATATTTCAAAAAGTCTAAATCTCTTGTTTAAGTTTTTTACCCCTTTATTTTGTGTTAAATCAAATTGCAAAATATGAATCATACATCTCTAATACGATCACTCGCCTTCATATACAGATTAGCTATTTGAAGTCACACTTTTCTTGGTGAAACTCCATAATTACAGAATTGAGAAAAAAAAAACAAAGCCAATTTTATATTTCTCAGATATTTCATCTATTAATGATATTGTTTCCACCATTAAAGGTCTTTACTGGCAAAACCATGGTTATTAATAAATGAAGTATTTGTGAAATGTACAATTGTCTTTGTTTTTTTTCTCAATTCTTTAATTATGGAGTTTCACCAAGTAAAGTGCGACTTCAAGGAGAAAATAGCTAGTCTGTATATGGAGGCGAGTGATTGTATCAGAGATGTATGATTCATATTTTGCAATTTGATTTAACACAAAATAAAAAGGTATGTTGTGTTTGCAATTACATTGTTGTCTTGGCTTTAGTAATATTGTTGACCTCATGTTACTCAAATCCTTGGTATTTTTCTCCTTACATTAAGTGAGTATTGTTCCATTATAGCATCACGTAGTTTATAGAAACTTTGAGGCTTAGTGAACAATGTATAAATATAGGCGATCAAGCGAGTGCAAGTAATAAGTAAAGTTCAGTCAGAAAAAAGTTAGAAAATGTGAAATTAGCCATCGTGTGAGTGATTAGCCATAATGGCGATATTTTAAAGTGAGCTTCACAGTTTAATATGTTCCCTGTTTGGACAGCTGTAATTGTTCCTATTTACAATGCTAAAATCAGGGATTTGATTTCCCTTGGTGGACACAGCAGATAGCCCGATGTTGCTTTGGTATAATAAAACACAACCACAGTTTAATAGAGATAAGGAGAATAATTTTTCTTGACGAAAAGGAGACAATTATTTAAAGTTTGAGATACAACTGTGGTAACCCATGGAGTAACATAAGTGAATCTATCACAGATTGTACAGTAAGAAACAAATTAGAGAAAAATAGTTCGTCTTGTAAACTGGATTCTAAAGTAATTGAATCAGCCTGAGTGGACTTTTGACAAGAAAAGAGAATTATGTAGAGTTTTAGATACAACTGATATCCTAGCATAAATAACTTTTGTACAAACTTTTGACTTGTTTTGAATATATTATTTTAAAACAAGTAGATTGTATGTTGTCCATTTATTATTTGAATTTATCGATAACAAGTCACAGACACTTACTGTAAAAGTATCTCAACCATACATATTTAAAATCCTGACATATGTCATTGTGTAGCTGGTTCAGTGTGAGCACAATAAGTATGAAAAGAAATAGAAACATAATAATTATGCACAAAAAAAACCTTATTCTACTCTACTGGACAAATCCTGTTTGCAGTTTGGTAATTATTGATGTCATTATAAAATGACCAAATATTTTTGCCAATACTTCATACTTATATTTATATTATTATTTTACTGTTTATAGAATGTGATATTACCACACACAGAGATACAAGTAGAGGCTCTAACTTGGAAGTTTTTACATCTCTCAAAAATATTGTGGAAACTATAAAATAAGTAGCTAGGAATTAAAAATCTGCTCTCTGTAGAGAATTGTAATATTATTGACATTTACACACTCCCACATAAACTTTTTATAAAAAAATATATAAATAGCCTCCTTTTTTGCAGAAATAAAGTAATTAACTTGAAATTAGTTAATTAAACTGAAAATTTAATGGAAATAGATCATTTGAGTTATGTTAGGTAAACATACAGGAAATTAATTACTATTATTCTTTTTTTTTTTCAGAAAGGAATAATTAATATAGTAAATCTTAGAAACGATGCTAAAAGTGATCCAGTTAAGTCTGTTGTGTTGGAAAGTTGTGTAAAATATTTTGCTGTACCAACATTCAAAAGTTTGGAGCTTGACACTTTAGTAGCTGTTGATGTGCACTCTAATGTTAATATCTTCAAAAAAGAAGTATACAAAGGTAGGGCAGATGTTTCTATGTTAAAGGTCTTAACATTTGTTTATATTTCTGGTACAAATGTTTTATAAACATTATTTTTTACTCCTCTAATAATTATTCCCAGAACTTATAACTGACATCAAATTATCTAATTCAGTTTTTAGCCTCCAGAAAATAAGTGCTCAACAAGAATTAAATTTTTTCATTGCATACTGAAATACTTAAGGCACAGTATTTAAAAAGCTGTTATTGGATACATAAGAAACTACCAATTCTTGTGTAAAATAATTTTAATTCTAATCCTCTCCATGATTTGTTCAAGATAACTCAGGCACCCTTCATGTTTCCAAAAGTTTATTTAGGTAAACCATTTCTTGCCTTATTTTTAATTATTTGTCCAAATTTATTTGCATGTTGACATGTATTACAATAAGTGATCACTATGTGGTATTGGAAATGCTGTTTGTGCTGATCTATATTGGATTTATTTAGAATTATGTATCATAAACACTGGAGAAAAACATTTTTATCCTTTACTGTACTTTCACTGAAATAGTATATATCAAATATAATTCCAGATATGTAACACTTTTTGATTATATTTTGTGGAGAGATATAATAACACATCATAAAAGAGCTTTTGTTTAATTAATATATAAATATAGGCTATCAAAAAGTGAAATAAAAAACTCCATGTGCTGTAATCCCCATGAGCACTAGCACGTGATCATAGAATCATTCTTTCCTCTGCACTGCCTGTGTTCAGACGTGTTTTGTTCCTGTACTTTTTGAGTATCTAGTTACCTTAATCACCGGCCTTTCTTTCTTTAGTGCTACAATGTTTTTGTCCTTGTTGCACTTTTGTTCCATCCATCTGATTGCAACTTTGCTTTCTCTAGCCACCACTTTTATATGTTAACATAACTTCTACAACTTTATTGAGCTGTGATGAATCTGAGTGTACCAAGAAGTTCACTGATGATGTTCCTGCTTTTGTGCACTTTTTGGCACCCTGTCATCGACTTGTCATTTCTGAATCAATTTCTCATTGTTCCTCAATTCTGGTTGTGGATGACTTTCTCAGTCTGCATTGTACCCTCTCTTTTGGGCTGTGTTTAACCAAGGTAGATATTTTGAATGCTTTCCTTCATTTCTATTATTATTATATGGTTCTGTGGCTTTTGATCTTGTCTCGGCAACAATCAGCAGTTGCTACTTCCACTCTTCTTTGGGTGACCTCTTGCCTGGACTGGCTGGTCTAACTTTCCAAGTCCTTTTTGACTCCCAGTTTCATGTCCACATGGGGTTTTTCTAACCGTCAGTGCAGGATGGGCTCAACTCTCTCCTTCTTGTGCTTGTGGCATAGAGATTTTGGTATCCAAGGCACTTCTATTTCTCATTTGGAAACTCTTGCTTCCCTAGGAGCCCTAATTGCTTTCAGTCATGCACATCTTCCCTTCAGTAGGCTTTAGGAGTTCATTTGAACATGTCCTACAGTCCCTTATCTGCCCTTGTGTCCCTTCCTTCCTCTGTTGGGGTGTTCTTGTTCTTTCCAATCAACACAACCCAGGTATACCACTCCCCCCCCCTCTCTCTTCAGCCTAACTTCTATCTTTACACCAACTTTTCTATTTATGGTTGGAGAGGCAGTTCTCAACACCACAACTCTGGTCTCTAGAGGAACATTCTCTGCATATAAACTTTCTGGAGACAACTGTGGCTGATCAGGCTTTCCCTCTTCTTCAGTCATGGTTTCTGGTCATCTTGTAGTGATCTACTCAGACAACTTCACAATCGTTACTTCTATCAACTGCCAGAGAAGCGCCTGCTCTTGGAACCTGTGCTTTTTCACTTTGAACTTCCTTTTGGTCCTACGTTTGTCATATTTGCCTTAATACTTGTTCTGTCCATGCAATTTGAATATGGTGGCAGACTGCTTTTCTCACATTGATTGGATCCCTTTCACAGAGTGATCCTTTCGTCCTTCAGTCTTTCATTGGATCTGTTCCTCTTCAGAACCCCTCAGATTGATACTTTTGTGACTCTTACTTTGGAGATCTCTCCCAGTTGTTCATTTTCATGTCAAGGTGTTGTACCTTTATCTTCATGTGAGGGATTTATTAGGTCCCATGTGAGATGTTTGGTATATTCTCACAATGTAACCCATTTTCTCTCTTATTGTTGTAGGCCTTCTATTCTCACCTTCTATCAATGGAAATGGGCTAACTACCACCACTGATCTCTTTGCTACTCTCTTTGGCTGGGTCATCCTACTCTTCCACATTTTACTTCCTTCTTTACCTGGCTTTATAACAAGGGCCTTTCTTGACCATTGCGGGTTACTTGGCAGTGTTGTCCATGACATTCCACCCTTCACATGTACTTATAGTCAACTTTTAAGCTTCTTTGTTCTTTGTCCATCACCCCACCCCCACCAGTTTAGTCCCTCTTCCCAGTTGAAACCTTCTTCAAGTTTTTACATGCTCCCCCTTTGGACCTTTTGCTTCCTGTTCCTTGTATCAATGTCTCTCAAGCCACATTTTCTTCTCCTTGTCTATAGTCATCATCATTTGCTCATTTATTTCTTTGGAAACCTCTTGTACTCTTTCATAAGAATCTCTTGATGTTATTTCTAGATTACTCCTTTCTTCTGTAGATTTGGGCTGCCCAGGAGTGTAATCAGATGTTTTCTCCCATCTCTCTCTCTTTTCTATTTCCTTTTGGTCATTCTGATCCTGATCATCTTTTGTGTCCAGTACAGGCTGTCCATTGCTATCTTGCTCTGACTTTTTCTTTCATGGAAATTGCCATTGCCTATTTTTAGTGTGGCACACCTCCTCCTCTCAAGCCTTGTTCCATGGGCTTTCCCTTTCAGGTCACTTTTTCAGAAAGGAGCTCACTATTGTAATTGGTCTTCACTGACCCCTCCACCATTTTTTATGTGAGATTCTAGCACTAGGTGGTGCAGAGAGGTAGGTAGCATTTCTGTAGTTAACATTTTCCTTACCTGAAAATGCATTTCAAATAAATATCTACCTATCTGCACCACATTTTCACCCTATATCTCAAATCCCAGTGCATTTTCTTTGAATGAGCCTATGATCATGTGCTATTGCTCACAGGGATTACTACACATTGAAGATATGTCACCTTCCTATTGGTGGACAGCTACAGCACCATGATGATTACATCATATGCTGGGGCAATACACATGTAGAGGTGGGAGTTTGTTCAAGGTTTGTGACATGTTCAGGGAATTACATGGCAGTTGCACATAAGCTGATAGCTCTTAGTGGTGCAGAGAGGTAGGTATCTATCTGAGATACTTTTTCAGGTAAGGAAAATCTTAACATTAATCACTTTAATGTATGTAAGGTTTCCTATAGTCTTGTACCTAATTTGAACTAGGATTTTTTTTTCTATGTGGTGGTCATTACTAAATATGCTGTGTAGAACTGTTATGGCAATTAGTGAACAATATGTATTAATACACTTAAATTGTTCTGCTAAGTGAAATATGCATCACAGCTGATGTGCAACATGTTGGCAAGAAAAAGGATATGCTGCTGCTTTAGACTTTTTTTTTTACATATCTCTAACACATTATGTAAGTAAATTTTTGATACATACTGATCCTCCTACTTGTATATTTCTTGTATTCTTTTCATATCTTGACTTTGTAAACTTTATTTGTGATATTTTTAACACTGATGGAGTATCTGAAATTTAATGGCTTATTGTGACAAACTGTTCTTTACACTACTTCCGTATATTCTCTCTTATTTGCTCTTGTATGCCTTTGTGTAATGACTGACTGACTTGAGTGCTCAATCACTTTTAAATCACAGTACTGTATAAGATATGCTGATTCAGGTGGTTTTCTTTAAGAATTTTTTTCTGGGAGGGGGATCTATTTGGTGGTAAATGTAGCTCATTGCATTTGAGTTATGAAAGCACAGTATGTCTATAAACATTGTCTGCTTTATATTTCCCAAAATGTTTGACAAGTATCATCTCGAAATAAAATCCACAAATTTGTAAAAAAAATCTTGAGAATGAGAGGTTTTCCCTTGCCGTATGGAAAGAAAGCTTCTGAAAATTGTTATTTGTTATTTATAGATCACTAAAGCATTTTATTTTTTGTTATATTCAGACATTAAACATGATAATATTAAACTTATTAAAGAACAAGATTTTGAATTTGAGTCACTATTCTAAACGCTTTAAGAGAAAAAGAGAAATTTTTATCTTAAAGTATTTCATAAACGTACTTTCATCTGATTATGAAAACATTTTACATATTTTATATTTACACATTTTATTAAAAGTTTGGATAATTAAACATGAAGAGCTTCTAGTAGTTAGAAACTCCTCCATAAAAAAGCTCAATATCAGTTATTAGTTGGTGTAAAGGGGGAGTGTTCAACAAGGCTATTTAGTTTCACATTTCACTCTTTCAAATAATTATTGTTACCTTATATTAGTGAAACTCCTATTTAAAATGTAAAATAAATTAACTGAGAGGATTAGTCATATCAATTCAGTCGGGTATGGCCTAGTTGTTAGAGCAATCAACTCACCATCTGTGTGTTGCAAGTTTGAATCCCATAACCAAATCTGCTCACCTTTTCAGCCATGGAGGATTTATAATGTGATGGTTAATCACACTCTTTGGTAAGAATAGCCCAAGGGTTGGTGGAGGGTGGTGTTGATTAGTTGCCTTCCCTATAGTCTGTCATTTCTAAATTAGGGATACTAATGCAACTAGCCCTCGAGTAACTTTGTAAGAAATTCAACAAATAAATTCTGTCTAACCTTTTAATTTTAACTCAAAACTAAAAATTTAATTGCAACTCATATTGACCCAAAAGAATCACACTCAAAAGTCTGGATGTACCGGACACCATGTACAGGGAATAATGATAGCTTTGTCAACTTTAATTTTACAGTATTCAGTAAACCCTTTAACAATACATAAATATATAATTACACTTTTTAGCAAAGCCAAAAGCAAAAGTTTC